CAGATGGGTCCCAGGCACAAAGAGGGCGCATTAGGAGCGTCACCTAGGAGAGCTGGGGCGTGTGTGGGGGTGGGGATGGGAGCTGCCAGGGTTTCCCAAGACAGCAGCTGAGACAGTCTGAGGCATTAATGCGGCGGGGGGGGGGGGGGGGTCCGAAAGGGATGAAAGAGATGACTTCCCAATGTGGGCTCTGGAGATCCACTCTCATATTACAACTTTGCCACCTGCATTCACTGGCTACGCTCCTGAGCGATTCACTTACAGCTCTGAGCCTCAGTCTCCTCACTTGTAAAATGTAATGATAATGGCACCATCGCCAAAGGGCTATGGTGAGAATTGAATGAATTAATACCACACTAAAGCTCTCAGCTCAGTGCTCTGTACCAAAGAGCCTATAATACATGTTTATGCCTCCTCTTCTAGCCGCCTCTGCCTATTATTAGTATCCTCAACTCCCCAGAGATGCCTGGGACTGCCTCCTTACTCCCAGATGGGCCAGCCCCGTTCCTCAATGCAGCGCCCTCCTCCTCCCATTACCTGGGACCGACCTGAAGGTCCTAGAGCAATGAGGCAGCCTCTAAGAGAGAGATGGGGACAGGGATGTGAGCTCCGGGAATCCTTAGGGATCTGACCCCCGACGTCCCAGCCCCCATAGGTCTCCGTCTCTGTCTGCCTAAAAAAATCGCCCCTCACTCTGACAGTGAGCAGGGGCTTACCCCCCACCCCCCGGATTCTAGCCTATGGGCTGCCTGCAGCCTCCAAACCATGGGGAGGTATGCTGACCTTCACTGTTCCCAAGGTCCTTCTCCCCAGCCAGGGTGGGATTCTGTGAAGGAACCATGTATCCCAAGAATCATCAGGTCTGATTCTAACGACTGGGGGCAGCCTGTCACCAGCCAGGGGTCTTGAGACCCTTGGTGTAGGGCCCCCTCAAAGATCCCTCCCCACCCCGAATCCCTACTTGTACCGGGAGGCCCTTGTGTGGGAAACGGGAAGTTGACCCCAAGTCTGTATAGAAGAGGGACTTCGAATGGAAGATGGACTTGTATAGAGGATCCTTTGCTTTAGATGAGCTCCTGGGGAGGGGTCCACTAGCATGTTCACTTAATAGAAGGAGTTCAGGCAGATTGTTAGGTTGATTCTGCCTCAAATGGAAGCAGACAGACAATTCTCCAGCACTTAGAGTGGCTAGGGGGCTTTAAAATCCATCGCTCTGGCCCCAGAGCATCTGGCCTTCATTGGTTCCAGACTGGGAATGGAAGAAGAGGTCCTCCATACCAGGCTTTCCTGGCCCCAGGCTGCCCCATGCATACCCAGTGCTTAGGCCTTTCTATAGCCATCTTCTCTGGGCATGACCTCTTGGGTCTTGGCAGCACCTTCCCAGACCAAGATGAACATTAGTCTGAGGTGCTTTGTCCCTCAGCTCGCTGTCCTAGGAATGTAGAGTTTCAAACTCAGGCAGCCGGCAGCACCGAAGGAACTCTGGCATGCTTCCAACAGTATGTCCAGGGAGCCATCGTTTCTGTGACTCCTCCCCAGTAGAGTGAGGAGGGGGGCCAGGGCCTGGAGCACAGAGACCTGGAGCATAGAGACCTTGGAGGGGACCCTGTCCCTGAACCTCACGCTGAGCTCTTGTGGGTGATTGAGGGAGAATCTCAGAGACCTTGGGGTCTGGAGACAGAATTCCCCGGCTCTGAGGCTGAGATCTGGGAAACCAGGGGGCCTCAGGAAAGGTGGGGCAGCTGAGCTGTGGTTCAGAGCAGGAAAGACCTTCTGGTTTGGTGCTGCCAGAGAGGAGACCCAGGGGGAGAGCGCCCAGCAGACCCAGGCCAGGAGGGGACTGTCATTCTACTTCCTTTTCCTATCCCCTCTCTCACTGGGGGGTCCTCCGCATTTAAGGGCCCTTGGAAGTCTGAGGGTTTTCATAATATCTTCCTCAGTTCTACTCGGAAGCACAGGCAGCATCGGAGTCCCCTCACCTGGGCTCCTGCCAGTCCAGGGCCACCTCCCTTGAGGAGCCACCTGCCCTGGGCAGCTGTGCCCGCTCTAGATCGCCTGTGTGCGCCTCCGCAGTGTCTGAGGATGCTCCTCTCCCACACGTGGTGGCCGAGATCCCTGACGGGGCGTGCAGTTTAGGCGGCCACTCCGGGAAGGGCTGGGACCCTGGCTGGCCAACTTGGGTCTAGGAGGAGAGAGGGGAAGACTTGATTTGTTTCCTTGCCTGTTACGTCCCTTTCTACATCCACCGTGCACACGAGGAACGGGTGCCCTCCGAGGCTTACGGTTGGTGAAGGAAGCTGCTACTGCAAGCGAGCTCCCAACCCAGTGGCGCTGGGTTCTCAGCTCCCCGCCGTCAGAGTCCCAGCCTCTCCCCGTCCCTCCGTCTGTGTCCCCGCTGGAGCCAGACCCAGTTTTGAATTCTTATCAAATTTCGTTTCAAATGGGATTTCACAATAAAAGCTACTAGAACCTGCCCGCCTCTCTTCCTGGATTCTCGCGGGGAGGCCCAGGGACCCTGTCCCACTCTTTCCTCCTCCCCAGCTGCTTGGCCTCCGCTCAGCCTCCGGTGGTGAAAAGCACAGACGAAAGGAGTCCGCCTGCACCCGACCCCTAGCCGCCTGTGGTTCAGGCCGGCGGTTCGGTGGCCCTGCTGGGCACCCAAGTGCACCTGTCACCGAGCTGGGGGATGGAGCCCCCTTCAGTCCTGGGCAGGGGGAGTCGGCATGGGCTGGGATTAGGGATCTCAAAAAATGAGGCTACAACCAGGGAAACCTTCTGCACCCCCAGGTGTCCCAGGTACAGGGACCTTCCTCCAATGGCCACCAAAGACGTTGTAGGCGAGAGGGCCGCGTGTCAGAGAACCCACTGCGCCGGCACCAGGCGCTGTTCTCCCGGGTGCGCATTCTCCCTTACGCCCCGCCGCAGGCTAAGAGACTGCAACGCGGTCTGTCCTCCTTGACCAGGAAGGCTGAAGCTTTTTCTTTTTCTTTTCTTTTCTTTTTTTTTAACCCAGAATCTCTTTATTTTATTTTATTTTACCCAAGACCTAAATTTGTATCGCAGCTTTGGATTGTGCGGATCCCAGAGGCCACAAGAAGACAGAGGTGGCCCTGCGGGGACGGGAAGGAGGCCGAAGCGGGCTCGTGAGGGTCTCGCTCCGGGCTAGCCCTTCCCAACACAGAACACTGTGCAGTTCAAGGCCGGTGTGGGCGCTGGGGAGGGTCGTGCAGCGCGAGGAAGGGAGAGAAGGGGGAGCGTCCGGATCGGCGCAGCGCAGCGGGCCGGGGGCCCCAAGTGGCCGCGCCGCAGCTGAAGCGCAAGGATGCCGCCGGAGTGGGATGGGGGGTAGGCGACTGCTTCTGAGCCGAAAGGAAAAAAAAAATCCCGGTAGGGCCCGAGGCCTGAGCGCCGGGACCCCCAGCCGAAGGCAAGGCCCTCGCCCCGAGGCCCCAAATTCCGCGCGCCGGGAGGGAAATTTTCACTTTCAACGAATTCAATCCTCAACCGCAGGGGGGAAACGTTAAGGATTGGGTGTCAAAATCAAATTAAGAGAGTTGTGAGAAACACCTTGTGTTTGTTGGGGTGAGGGTGGGGGGCGCGCGGGTAGAAGAGTCCGACAACCCCTTATCTTCCTCCAGGGTGAAACCGACGGAATGGCTCCGACTCCGGCTCCAAGGGCCCCTCCTCCCACCCACCCACCCGGTTCGCAAACACCCGACTGACCTTTACATTTTATTTAAAATCTCAACACTCGATCATTTATTTCGTTTTTGCAACCAAACGAGTAATAAATATTATTTAGCACTTTTTTTTCTTTTTACAAAAATAAAACAGATGATACACTCTCTGCGGGACGGCGATCAGAGGAGAGCTGTTACGAGGCAGACGCTGTGAAGCCCATTATCGCAACGCTGGAAGCGCGCAGTTTGCAGAAGACGCGAGAAGCACGTGGACGAGTTTGTCACTTGTGTTAAACGTGGCAAAAAGAAACCAATGTAGAGGAAACCCGGCTTAGACTCCGGCGGGGCTGGCGGTCACGTGAGCAAACAGCTTAGCAGCACGCCCTGACCTCATTATTGATAATATATTTACATAGCCAAGAAAGAAAAAATTAAAAAGGCAACAGAACTCCCAGGTAACTCAAACCATAGTCACGGCAACAGCCTTTGAGTTTCGTCAAACCCTCAGGTATCCAAATGACTGCCCCCAATCGGGGGAGAAACCAAATCACTTTGTGCTTAGAGCCGGAAAGAATGGGGAGGCAGGGAGGGTCTATCTGAAAATAACTAAAGCAAAACAAAAAACCCCAGGCGCCCCCAAAGTCGACGGCTTTAGATTATTCCAATCCACAAGTGGTTCTAGGCTGACCTTCTAGAAGGCTTGCTTGTACTGTGGAGTAAGGAACACAGAGTTATTAAAAAACCACAAACCCTCAAAACCAGTAAGAGCGACAGGGAGGAAGGCAATAGTTCTCAGACAGTTGTGGGTGTCTCCAGATTGGACACGACCGTAAATGCTTCTGGCACCGAATGCCAGTTTCCAGCGAGCTCGCAGCCCCTGGCCCAGGGCCAGGGACGACCCTTGAAGGCCAGGCCTGACGGCCGCTCCTGGAATATAGCTTCTCCCGAGCCTCCGATCCGCCGAAAAGGAGGAGGGAGAGGAAGTCCCCAACGCTGTCCCCCTCCTGCTCCCCCACGTAACTAAGTGCTGCCCGGGCCGAGCGCGGCCGCATTCTAGGAGAAACCACCAATTTAAGACTTACTTTGTTTTGGAATTGGAGGGGACGGCGGAGAGTGAGGGAGGGGCGCACACAGCACTGCCTTCTTAGAAAATGTTTTCTTTCGGAGCAGCGCTGTTTAAAGCCAGAGAGGGCTGACCCAGGTCCCAGAGCGCACGGCCCAGTCACTCCCCACGGTTCAGTGCGCCCCCCCCCCCATTGCTTCGGTTCCCCAGTGCCGACGTCTTCATCATTGCCCCTACCCCCACCCCCAGCCCAACGTCCTGTGATCTTGGGAACTGAGCTCCCAGGCCCCCGCGCCGGCCGCTCCTTGCTTCCCCGCGGCCTCCGGGTCCCTCCGCTCGCCAGAACGCGCCGGCGCCCGCCCGCTCACTTGGCGTCGGAGGTGAGGCGCGGCAGGCTGCCGGCGCCCATGGCCGACACGTGGTGGTGCGGCGGTGGCACCTGGCACATGCTGCAGGGGCAGGGCATGCCGCCCCAGTGCTGGAAGCCGCCGCTGCCCCCGCTGCCGCCGCCCCCGCCCGCCAGCGGGGCCGCCGCGGCCGCAGACGGAGACTTGAGCAGGCCGTGCGGGGGCCGAATGGAGCCGACCGAAGACAACCCGGAGCCGGGCAAGGAGGCGCTGGACACCGCGGCGGCGGCGGCGGCGGCGGCCGCCGCGGCCGCCGCAGGAGGCAGGATGGGATGGTGGACCGCGGGGTGGTGTGCGGCGTGCGCGGCGGCCGCGGGGTGCGCCGTGGCGGCGGGCAGGGGCGCCGAGTGCGCCAGGCCGCCGCAGGCCGACGGGTGGAAGCCCGCATGGTGGCCGCCGTAGATCTCGCTCACCAGTCGCTTCATCTCCTCCAGGGAGTTGGTGAGCATGAGGATGTAGTTGCGCGCGAGCAGCAGCGTGGCGATCTTGGAGAGCTTGCGCACCGACGGGCCGTGCGCGTAAGGCATGACCTCGCGCAGCCCGTCCATGGCGATGTTGAGGTCGTGCATGCGCTTGCGCTCGCGGCTGTTGATCTTGAGGCGTAGCTGCTGCAGCTCGGGCTCCGTCATCTGCTTCTTGTCCTTCTTGGTGGACGACGCGGCCGCCGACGATGTGGACGACGACGTGCTGGACGAGGATGACTTGAAGCCGCCGCCGCCCAGCTTGTCCCCGGGGTGCGCGCCCGCCGCGCCCATGGCACCGCGCAGCTCTGCGCTCAGCTCTGGCGGGCAGTCGCTCGGCGTGGACGACGACACGGTGCCCCCGGTGAAGCCGCTGCCGCCGCTACCTTTGCTCCGGGCCGGCAGAAAAAGGTCATCGGGCTCTGGCGACGACGGGCGACTGGACACCAGGCTGGCGTCCGAGTCCATGGCCCCGAGGGATAGTCGCAGCTCTCGCAGGGTCGTCCCTCCCTCCCTCGGCCCTCTGAGCTTTGCGCACGCCTCCTGCGGAGAGGACAAGGAACAGAAGAGAGAGATCTGGATCGAGTTCGAGGCAGAGAGAGAGAGAGAAGCTGTTCCCGCCTGCACCGCAGTTGCGGTCCAGGTGCGGGTGGCCGGTCGTTCTGCGTCCACCTCGCTTCCTTCTAGCAGCAGGCAGGTGCGCAGGAAGTAAGCTCTCTCTCTCTGCCCCCACTTCCTCAGCTCTCATCCACAGGTTGTTTTATTCCAGGGAGCATTGGATCCCCTCAGAGAGGGTGGCCTTCTAGATACCTTCAATTAGGAATGGGGAGGCCGAATCCCCAGGGCTGGAATGGCAAGTGAGGGTTTTTCTTTGGGAGGGCGGAGATCTAAATAGAGAAGTATTTATTTGGTTTCTCAAACGCATCGACCTTATCTCCATCGACACCGAGGAACAAACACACAAGCATCCGGCGCCCAAGAGCCCAGATAACGTGCGCCGCGTCCGGGGACCGCGGGGAGCTCGCCAGCTGACCCGGACTTGGGCAGAACGAGCTGTGGTCACCCCGACTTCTCGCTTTTGGGCGACGGGGGTGCTGCGGTGAGTGTGGGGAGGATCCGAGCAGCGAAGCCACTCGGGGGAACCGGCGGGCAGGGGCGGGATCAGGGCCCTCTCCAACGGAGCGTCCTGGGTCGCCTGCGAGTTGAGGGCCGTCTGTCCCTGGGATACGGGCTGAGGTTGCTGGGGGGGGGGGGGGGGGGGGG